ATATATATATATAAACTTTCTTTATTAAAAAATATATTACACAACTGAGGAAAAAAACATTGTCAGTATTCATATAAAAGTAATAAAAAAACATATATATTATTAGCTTCATAATTACATAATTACCTTTATGAGATCTTTTTCGTCGGTCTTAACAAAGCACAATAAAGCGTTTCCTATTCCACTGCCAATAACTACCGCTGCTACGGCAATCCCGATAAATTTCAACGCCATGAAGATTTAATGCTCATTGCGCTTCCCTATCCAGGTCTTGTAATCAAATGTCCTCAAATGATCACTGCCAGACAACTGTTCCCCAACAGTGTAGTAACCCTCCAATATTATAGGAAAATGTTGATGCATGTAATATCTGAAATCTAATACAATGAAATATAGAGGATTGATCTAATCAAGAGATTTATTTTATTTAAGTAAATTTCTTGCATGATTTAACTTTTCCTTTTTTTTTATGTTAGAAACAAAAAGGAAAAAGAGATGAACTGTGCAAAGAGTTCAGCTAAAAATCTAAGCAGATATAATTCACATAGTACAGATCATTCGAGCAATATTGTAATGTTGTAGTAATATTGCAATAACAATGACTGTATTCAGCAGAAAAAATTGCTTTGAAACTTGTAAGATTTTTTTTTAATTGATTATATTTTTAGTTGGTTTATATTTTTAGATCCAGGAGGAATATAAAGGGCAAGATCAATCAGCTAATTTTTCTACTAAAATAGCAATTGTAAATGTTGTAACAACGTTGTTGAAAACTTCAGTACTGGGAAACAATTCAATGGAAAAATAAATTGACTTTTGATCATTCTATGTAGTTATCCTTACAAAAAGTCAGTTCATTTTAGCTGAATTGCTTTATATATTTTCTCTTTTTCTCTCCAAAATGAAAAGAAAAAGAGGAAAGATGAACCCTACAAGAAGTTCAGTTAAAAAAAAACAGGCCTAATGCAAATTCATACAGAAAAATCTCGGCAATCTGTCACATTTATTGCCAGATACTAAATATAGGAAGTGACTGAGAGATCCTTTTTTTTCAGTTGTACTCTTTAGCCATTTCTCCATTTAAGTTATCATTGCTCATTTTATCTCGAATATACAAAGCATGATCTAGAATAAGTCTAAATAGATTAAAATTATTCGAGAATATCGGATATGGCAATAACGTAAGTCTAGGCAGAGCAATTCAGAAACGAAGATGAGATTCTATAATTAAGTAAGTAATTCACCTTGCGAAGTGTTCAGGCAACGCCAAAATCCGTACGATCCCAGCAACAGTACTCCCTCGAAGATAAGGAAAGCCTTAGCACTTTTCTTGAGGGTTTGCACGAAGCCCAATTTGCTCGGCTGTTTCCTGATCATGCTACAATGAAACGGACAAGATTTCCTAAAATGGAAATCATCAATACTGCGGGATATGGAACTCGTAACGAAACATCGCGCAACACCATTTAACGCGGTGTAAAGGAAGGCATGAAGAGGGCGTCTCGTGAGTAAAATTGGAGAGAAATCTGAGAGAGGACGTTTTCACTCGAATGAACTTAATTAGACATATCTGCTAATTAAGTAGAGTATAAATATCTATTTAATTTAAATACAATGAGATTTTGTTGATGATTCTCAAATCTAAATATAATAAATTATCTTTATTATTAATGAGATTCCAGGAATAATTGAATATCGACTATAAATATATTAATATTATCCCAGTCAGAAATGATAGTAGAATCGATATTGAATCGACGTCGAAAGCATCGATCGACATCGAATCGACGTCGATTACTATGTAGATTTCATTATCATTTTTGACTGGAACAGTAACCACCTGATGGATAATAACTCAAACTCGGATGATAACAATATAATATTGTAGTTTTTAATTGAAATTAAATTCATTGATATATATCTACAAAATATCAGATTATTTATTATAGTATTTATTATAGTATTTATTATAGTAAATAGAGTATATATTATATAGTATATATTATAGTAAATATTGTATCATAAATTAATATTCAAATTTTAATAGTAACAAACTTTATAAATTTGTTCATCTTTAATATTTTGTCGATTCAATATTACACGCGAGAAGATTCTTAATCGCGTCAGAGAGTTCCAATTTTTCAGTATGTTATAAAGTCAAAAAAAATATTTTTTCTAGAACATAAGTTAACAAATTTACAATATTTGAAGAAAAAAACTTGGGGATAAAAATTTTTAAAAAATTGAAGTTTCCTCGTACGATAAGCCCTGTTCGGTTTAAACGTTACTGTTCAGAAGAGCAGAAACGTTTCAACACACATTACTTTACTTTGACAAACACTCTCACGCCCATCGCGAAGGATCGGCCGAAGCTTCCTCTCCTGAAATTCACGAAGACGACGGAGGCTGATAGCCAAAAGCTACGGCACTTTCTGCCACGAGTCCAGGGACTTTCCTCAGAGCGATAAAGAGTCATTGCAGGCTCCGATAGTGGCTCCGCGGTGTTTCCCGAGGGAACTTCGTTAAAGGAATCTTTCAAAAAGATGTATATATAGTGAAACATGGTTCGACAAGCACTCTCGAGAAACTGGAAAATAGAAAAATATATATATTTTACTTATTAATAATATCTTATAGTAATGAATTTTACTTATAAAGCATTTTGGTCTACAAGATTATAACTTTTTTATACATGATAATGTATATTATAAAAAATTATTATTAAACAATAATATTTTTTTACTTGATAAATTTTTTATTAACATATAAAGACACCCAAAAATTAAATCTAAAGATTTCGTTTTAGTCAAAAAATCCTAGCAATTATTTTTTAAAATTATTTTAGCATATAATACAAGAAAAGAATTCTTACGATTTTTCAATTCGATCGAATATCGTATTTCAATATGGCTGCAATAAATAAATGAGAATTTTGAAGGGAATTGTTGGTTCATATTATCTACGCTGTAGATTATGCTATAGATACATTTAGAAACCAGCTTTATGCTGAATCAGCTGAATTATAGAAAATCAATACTTCGAAAAGATTAATAACAGAAATCTATTCCTCTTAAGAATAATTATTATTTATAATTTATAAACTGAGAGATTCAAATTAAGTCAGTTGCTTCGTGCGAATATATTTTATATGTACATACACACACACACATTATCAAATTTGTTATTGTCTATTAAAATTGATGTTAACTTGTAATTGATATTCTTCACCATTTTGACATTGATGTAGTTCTTTATTATTTCATGCAAATTTCAAAAACGCCCGATGAATCCCATCGGGATGCTACGAAAAACGCATGTATTAATAATGATTAATTGTGTAATTTTTTCTTTATAGCGGAAACATGAAAATTTTTATACACATGATGTACAATACACACATAAAACAATAAATTTTAACTTTCACATTTTCGCCCTAGAAAAAAAAGTTAAGATTTATCTCTGACCGCCGAAATGCCATCGCGATAGAATTTTCCCTTTTTTTTTTATAATCCAGATAAAAACGTTCAATCATATATATGTCAATTCTAAATTTCTTTTCAGATATAATTAAAAAGAATCCTTTTTCTGAAAAGTTCTGAAAAAATTCTTTTTGCATCTAAAAATAAACTCGGAATTGATATGACTGAATTCTTTTTAAACACTCTGTGCTCTGAGAAATTACTTTCGGCACCAATATCGTCGCGACGTACTGGTGCGCATGCAGCGTCAGAGCGCAGAATCGCGAGGTCGTGGACGTCGGCTGCTGGACGGATGGACGGTCGGTCGGCCAGCGGGGAAACACGAAACGATACCGCTTCGCTAAATATAATATACGAAGGCACGCGGTTCTACTACTGTCCGCCACGACGCGCGAAGTAGCATGATGGCGACGGCGACGGCGGCAATGATAGTCACCGTTTGAGACCCTCGACGTTCGTACTGTCGACCTTCCGTCGCCTTTGTCGACGGTAATCACACAAGTATCATCTTGCATCTTGAGTCGCCGAGAACCGACCGTGGAAAACGGAGTAGTGAGTCTTTCCCAGGCAAGTCCGCGAACGACGAATCCCCCGAGTGTTATTTGCCAGGGGGTTTGCGATATTTTTGACGGAGCTTCTTTACCGGGACTCGATCGATTATCATCGTCGTTGAAAATCATAGTCCATAGGTGAGAGTCTTTTAAAATCATACTTTGACATATGATATGCATATAGTATACCAAAGAGAATTTTAATTATGTGTATTTAAAAATGTATGTAAAAATTAAATATTACACTTATAAGTTGTATAAAAAATGTTTTTGTAAAGTTTAATTTTGAAAAATTACATTCAAGACTTCTGGAAATTCTTTAATTAATATTTAATAATTATTAAATATTTTTAATAGCTTTATTTAGATATAG